CTACAAAATATCTACAAATCTATAGCTGGTTGATAGCTACATATCAAAATTTTTTAGACAACGATTTTGTTACAATACGACGCTAGGTACAATAGCCAGTGGATCTTCAGCTTATTAAGCTAGCTGTCCTCGTAGCCAAATCGCTGTTTTTATCTTTAAAAATATCGATAACTTTTCGCTAACTTAAAAAAGCTAGCGATCCTCGTGGCCAAATCGCAGTCTTTATCGTAACGATTATAGCTAGCTATCCGCTAAGCACGATTTCATAACGCGTAACGATCTTTGTTATTATAAATGCAATATTTTTATTTTGTTAACAATAATGTGGCATTTAAAAAAAGCGGTAGTATTTGCACATTTCTTAATATTTTTAATTTGAAACACTCTAAACAGTTAATACTGTTTAATATATTAAAAGTCATTAAAATATTCAAGTAAAAAATGCCATTTGTGTAAATGCTTAGTAACAATTAGATTCAGTTTTTAACTGTTTAGAGGTATATTTTTTTCGACAATAGATTATTGTCAGAATGAAAGCAAATAATGCAATAAGCACTGCAACAATTTACAAAAGTAATCTCACCAAGTTTTTTAACAGTTCTTTGACGTCCATAATAAGTCTAAATTAAAGAGCGTCTTTCTAAAAGGAGCTTTTTTTTTCTTTTTTTTTTTTTTTTTGTTGCATTTACAAAAAACAATTGAAATTAAAAATTAAAAAAAAACAATAATTATCAGGCGAAGAAAATTTTGAATTTCAATAATTTTGTAATCTGTAAATAAAGATGATGAACAATGTTTTTACTCTTAGGTTTAGAGATGACACTTTTTTTTTTTTTTTTAGTTACTCGAGTAAGTTAATTTTTATCAAAAAGTAAATTACATAAGTAATTTTAAAGTTTAATGTAAATTTACCTCTCCATATAAGTAATTAATTTTTTTGAAACGACTTCTACCTTATAATGAAAGTATTTTTACTTTCAAAAGTAAGTTATGTAAAAGAAGATCACATCAAAAAGTAATTTACTTTTACATGTAAAACATTACTTTCACATTTTAAAAGTTAATGAACTTTTGAAAATTACATAACATAATATAAAATTTTATGAAATTTGTGAAATTTACATTACATAATATAAAAGTTGATTAAGCTGTAATTTACACTTACATATAAATGTATCTAATTAAACAAAGTTATATTTAAAAAAAACTTCCATACCAAAGTAAATTACATAAATGTAATATGCTACCAAATGTAAGTTAAATATACTAATAAAATAGTATTTTTTTGAGTAGGAATTTTTTATTTTAAAAGTAATAACAAATCTTTATTAAAATATACAATTTAAAATAAAATTTAAATTACATAAGCTTACATTTTACATAATTTGTAAAGTAAATTAAAAGTAATTTATATAAAGTAAGTAAGCAAATTTACTTATATTCTAAAATAACTTTGACAGAACCTTGTACAACGTAATGCAAAGAAGTGAAGTCTAGAATTCAGACATATCTAAAATATGGCAGTGAAAACGAGCATATACCCATGGGAGAGACAGAAAGGATAGACTATTTGAATGGCATAATTGACGTAATTGTTAGTTTTTCTTATAGATTTTTTACGTAAAAGTTTTTATTATTGACCAGACCCTGCAAGTCTTAATCCGGTACTGGTTTTAAGAACTGAAGTATTTTATGGGTATAAAAAATTTAGAACTGTTTATGTAAATATCTTTATCTGCGTATAGTATCAGTGGCCTAACTACAGCAAGGTCAGTGTAAACAAAATTTACTGTCCCTCAAACAACTAGCCCCAGGGTTGTGAGGTTTAGGAGCCTTATGATGTCTTAAAGTAGGTACTTCCACTATTTCACTATTTTTATTATCTCTTGTTATAATACAATAGTACAAAAATATAATATAGTATAAAAAGCTCTGTTAAAACTGTAAAAATTAACTTAGAATTAGTAGTTTTTCTTTTAAATAGGAAATGTAGAAGAAAAGAGTTACCCATTGCATTGACAAAAATTATTTTTCTGATTGTTTCCCGGTTACCTAATTGATGATAATAAAGATACTCTATTCTTTTTTAAGCAACTATTTTTTCAGGACAATAATCAAACTGCATCCCAGTCTCATCCCTATTCCAATGTGTTTTGCGGTTTCTGAAGCAGGTTGTTTTCCGTTAACACATTTTTAAGAATGGAAAAATATTTCGACACTTTACAAACATTCATACACTGATGTCTAATAGCTGCTGTACCTTCTGGTTGACATCAAGTTAAATCTTTGTGCCTTTTGCAAATCCCACGTCACATTTTTCTGTAGAAGTTCCATTCTTGAATGCTTTTTATGCTTTAACGCAAAATTTTCAGCATATTTTAAAAATTTCAATCAACAATCTGATTTCTAAAGCTGCACGATTATATGCAAAATCAATTAATTTCTGTTTATCTAAAATAGTTGGATGTCCAAGTTTAGCTCCCATTTACATGACTCAAGAAAGTCAAACTTGTAACAAACATCTAGAATGTCAAAAACTTTGGATGCTACGATCTGTGAATCTCCTTTTTTAACAGCTTTAATTGCTATTATCATCAATTCATCATTCCATAAATGATGTTTTCTGTGTTTGCTTCTCTGTTCTTCAATTTTCGTTGAAGTTTCTGTTTTTTTAGTTTTATTTATTTTTTCATTCTAAAGTAAATTTAATTATAAATGGTTATGACTGCCTGAAAATAAATATCTATGTTTCTATGATTATATCATATACATGTATGAAGTAATTTAAGTTGGTAATTCTCTTTCTCTCTCTGCATATATATATATATATATATATATATATATATATATATATATATATATATATATATATATATATATATATATATATATATATATATATATATATATGTATACATATATATATATATATATATATATATATATATATATATATATATAAATATATCTAAATATATATATATATATATATATATATATATATATATATATATATATATATATATATATATATATATATATATATATATATATGTATGTATATATATATATATATATATATATATATATATATATATATATATATATATATATATATATATATATATATATATATGTATTTTTATATATATATATATACATATATATTTATATATATATATATATATATATATATATATATATATAATATATATATATATATATATATTATATATATATATATATATATATATATATATATATATATATATATATATATATATATTAGGTACGTACATAAAAATTTTAAACCGTTTATATATAAGACTAATATATATCATTGGAAAGAGCTTTAAATTAATATTAAAATGGCGAAAATTTCATAGAAAAAGAATGATTCTATAAAAAGTTATGCAAGTTTAAGTATCAAAATTTAACAACAAAGATTACTTAAGAAAACTGCGACCAACATTAAAATTTCACGTTCGGCTAACGGTAGTTTTGTAATAGAACATTTTTGCAAACTCGCGCAGTATTTTTTTCTCGGGTTTGAATTTTTATTGAATAAAGTGTCTAAGTAGCGAATATAATAATTTAGTTAATCAAAATATTTCTTATGTAAAAAAAAAAATCAAATTAATTTCCTTAGGTATATAACAAATATTGCGAACATCATATAAAAAACGATTATAATAATATTGCGTACATTTTAAAGACAAAAATATTTAACAGTAAAACGCTTCTTCTTATCAAGTATAAAATTTATAGAATATAGGAAAAAACGAGTCGCTGAACTATCTGATGTTTTTTTCTGTCCCTATTTTAATGTCTATATTTTTACTCCGTTTCACAAAAAATTTTAATTACACTCTTATAAAAAAACATGTTTAAAAAGAAACAAACGTGTATTTTTTTGGAAGGGCCTTAAATAATAGTGGAACTAGTCCAATTGCAAAAAGATTCATTAACGAGTTTTTTTTATCTCTCATTAAAATTTATTAAAAATACATAAGAGGATACAGAAAACGGGTCACGGTTCCTAGTTATAGCAAATAAGTTAGCTCTATTGGTTTGATTTTATCTTAAAGTTTAATTTTATTCTGTAAAGAATATATCAGTACGAAGTAACAATTTAAAAGAGAAAAAATATTAACATAACTAAAGTCTCTTTAACAGAGATGACATTTGCTTAACATTTCTTCCAGTATTTTTTGAGGCTGTAAAATTAATAAAATTTTTAATTTATTAATATTTTAAAGGCCTCACATTTTCCTTATAAAGCATAAGGAAGATATAGAAACGGGTCACGGATCCTAGTTATGTCAAATAAGTTAGCTCTATTTGTTTGACATTTCTTAAAGCAACTTTTCTGCAACAAATTCTCAACTAATTCTTTCAAGTTATTTTTAACACCAGTTTTAGCAAATTATTAAACTAATATAGCTATGATTTGTACCGAAAATCTCGATCCGTATTTACCAAGGTAATAAAAGTATAAACGGTCTCTATTCATATATAAAAACATAACGAAAATATAAAGAAAAACAAAGCAAAACGAACAATGTATGTAATACAACACTATAATTTCAATGAGAAAAAATTTACAAATTTATGTGAGAAGCAAAACACATTTTTCTTGAGATAAAAAAAAAATTTACGTTAAAAAAAATTTTTTTTTTTTTTAATATTATATTTAACATTAAAAAGTATCGGAAGTACTTTATAAAATCAAATGGAATTGTTTTTTTATTGTATAGCCTTTAGTAAATGGTATAAAAATTAACAAAACTTCCTTTTGACTTTTAGAAAACGATCAACAATAAGAGAAGGAAATTCAACCTAAAAATGTAACAAAATTATTGAAAACACTTATTACACATGAATGTATACGTAATCAGTTAATTTAAATAAAAACTCAAAAATGTGATAACAAATAACAAACTTACTTTAAGAGATTTTTTTGTGTGCGTATTTTTGTGAAAAATTTCAAGATTTATTGTTGCAAGTTTGGACTATAAACTCTTTTTAAAAAAAGCAACGCTAAAAATAATTAAAAAAAGATAATTCTTTACATTTTAATATAAAAATTAAATCCTTGGCTTTTAGTGAATGATTATATATAATCAGTTTCAGTAATGAAACAATCCAATAATCATTTTTAACGATAGACACCGACGTGAAGGTAAGCCAAGTCGTCTATCAACACAAAACATCACAACAATAACATCACACGATTAACAAATAGCACAAAACGTTACAGTAAACACTCAATAACTGAAACCACCAAGGGACCAAGAAATTAGCTTATTAGAAAATGTTTAGGATTATTGAAAGCATATTCCATAAACAATTGGATCAATTGAAATTTCAAAATTAATTCAAGTTGTTAAGGGTTATTGAGTTATCCAGATTTTATAGAATTTTTTTTATCTACTAACAGCATAACATACTTATAAGTACACATTTTGTGATTACAAACAGACTTTATTATGTGTTTCATGACAGTAAACCGCTTGGCTAGCAAGGGCAACACTCTTGCCATAAACAAAGCCAAGTCACATTATTTAAAGTACACCGCTTGGCTAGCAAGGACAACACTCTTGCCATAAACAAAGCCAAGTCACATTATTTAAAGTACACCGCTTGGCTAGCAAGGACAACACTCTTGCCATAAACAAAGCCAAGTCACAATATTCAAAGTACACCGCTTGGCTAGCAAGGACAACACCCTTGCTGTAAACAAAGCCAAGTCACACCACTTTGAAACCATGGAAACAACATAATAAATACTTTTAAACTATAAAAGCATAACATTATAACACATAATACACTTCATATAATACAGTGATTTACACATTTATTAAACATAAATACTTACAAAATATATACAAAATATAACCTTAACACATATATAAACACATAATAAAAAACACACAATACCGTATTAAATAACAAATAAAGCATAATATTATTATCATAATTTATCATAATTAAATTATCATACTTATCATAAGATTGTTACCATAATTTGCTTATGATAACATCAAATCACCGCTTATGATGTCTGCAGATAATTGATATTTGCTCATATCATATTCAACAGCATCATCATCCTCATTTTCATTTGGTTTCCAATAAGAAACTATATATAAAGCATTATTTTTTTTTTAAATGCTAAGAAGCCTGCCATAGTACATATCCTGGCTTTTAGTGTCAGCATCATACCACATGTGGCATATACTTCTTCCAACAGCATCTCCATTGAGAATGTCTTCAATATCTGCAGCTTCATTATTTTCTAGATCTGGGAAGAGTTGTTTTACCTGTAGAGGTACGCATTTTTTAAATATTTTTTCCACTTTTCTTCTTTCTTTCTCCTCCTTATTTTGAATCTTTTTAGCCATGCGTTTAATCAATTCTGCCTTCATTTCTTCATGGCATTGCATGTTTGCCAAGCGCTTTTTACCGGCTGAAGAAATAGACCAGGCTATCAATTTATTTCGTATATCAGTAGGTTTTTCAGAAAGAAAATCAGCTGTCTTATTCTTGCATGCGCGAATTTTCGAAGACAAATAACAAAGTGTGGCATTAGGAGCTTTTTGCTTTGCAGCACTAAACATACCCACAAGTTCTTCACAGTCAATATTATGTGAACGTGCTGATAATGTCTGGGACTTGAGTTGGTCAGTTAAAGTCATAGTAAACTGTCGCTCATACTGACGGTTAATAACACTAATGACAGCATTTAGACAGCTGGCTAATGCATCTCTCATTTCATCAGTCCTTGGGCAAAAGCCTATGAGTGATTGAAAAACTGGATCATTGAGATCACCTCCAAAAAAATCTGTTTTTCGGTGAATAAGGGAAAGAGCTTCTGCGCTGCTTTCAACAAGTGCATTGCAAACATTTTTGATCACTTGGATGCCAGACAAATAGTCAAGTCCTTGTCCTGACGCCACATAGAATTTTTTCATCCAGGGACCAGTCCCTAACTTTCCAATTAAACCCTATAGTATATTTTATTTAATTTTAGGTATACGCGAGATGTGTGCCATAGACACATCTCGCGTATACCTAAAATTAAATAAAATATACTATAAAAAAATAAGAACCAAACATTTTGATTATTAATCTATCATAACATCTAACCTGTATCAGATGTGAAGTCTTGGAAAAGACTATTTCTCAGTCCTCCACATAACACTACTCCAGAAAACAGAAAACTCTGAAGTTTCTGGTAGTGATGTATTAAAGTTCCACATGTATGAAAAAGTATGTGCAATCGATTTCCCCTATAGCGTGGTATAAGTCTTCTAGGAAGACCATGCTTGCCCAAAAAGGTGACAAAGCCTTTTGGATCACCTTTAAAAATAAAATTATAACCAAAAGTGCAATGCAAAAAACTTATTTTAAGCAAGTATGTTAACAAAACACATTTATTAAGTTCAGATTTAAATTCAAAATAACAACTTGAAATAAAATAAATTTAAAATATTAAGATGACATTATTATAGTAAAAATATGATAAGAATTTATTATATTTATTTACCTTTACCATCCTTGTAACGGAGTTTATTTAACTGAACAACAATGTTTGCTGCAAAACAATCTCTACCAAAAAGTTTCCCTTTTGAAGTTTCCAAAGCTTTAAGCGATGACTTGCAAGCAGAAGTAATTGTATCCAATGGGTGAAGGTGACAGTTCAGTTCATTTAGAGATTTTTGCCAAAAAGTGTTTAACTTTGTTATAGTTGCATGGTTCACTGCCACTCTGTCACTCATTGTGTTTGTTATGTTGCTGATAATCGTGCTTCGTACATCAGTATATTGTTTCCGGTAAAAGTCACTATACAACTTAGCAAGATTATTCACAGACTTTGTAATATGACTCATATAGTCATAAGATGTACCACCAGCAAGCTGGTCAATGGCTACAACCATGCACGAAGATTCATTTGTTAAGTGCACAACATTGACATGAACACCCTCCTGGGTTGTGGCATCAAAACCAAGAGTCAAATTTTTTGTTGAGAATGCTATCTCAGCAGCCTGGAGTTCTGAAATAATACCCAGCTCGCGCATCATCTGCTCCACAGTTTTGCGATGTGGAATGTTACTAAATCTATACCCAAAGTGTTCTCCTACTTTATGAAGAAGTTGGGGCACACTGTGTGTAGGAACTTGACATGCTAGCATGTCATAGATAAGTGCCCTAATATCAGATGAGTAGACTTTTTTACATCTGGTGCTTTGTACTTTCTGCTGCATTTGCTCTATCTTTTCCTGTAAAATAAGCATATCATTTTGCAGGACATTAATCTCTACGTTCTTGTCAGCAAGTTGTTGACGTAAGGTAACTTCTTCATTAGACAGCTTTGTTTGGGTGAATTGCAGTTCTTTTTTCAAACGAAAATTTGAAATTTGAAGCTTATTCAGCTGTAAGTTTAGACGTTGAACTTTTAATTTATTCCGCAAACTTCGAATTGTCTTTTCTTTGCGAGCAATAGTCTCATTGAGATGTTTAAATCTTGGCCTTGTTTTAATTTTTTCTTTTAACACCTTTACATCCTCTCTATGCTTTCGTTTTTCGGTAGCAATTTCAGTAGCAAAAACACTTAATCTATGTTTGAGGAGTTTTTTTCTTGGAGTCAACTGGTCAGCTCTTAACCTGGATAACAAAGGACTTTTTTTATTAGGTGAAGACAAAATACTTTTATGTTTAGGAGATGAGGCAACTGACAAATACGAAACAGTTTTACTTGAACTTGGACCTGACTGAAATGAATCTGTTGCTGGAAATGTTGCTGCTTGACAAATAAAAGGCTCGTTGCAGAAGTCAACAAAATGTTTTGAATCTCTTAAAAAATTGCAAGCCCATTTTTTTGATACATTAACAAGAAGTTTAGTATGACTGTAACAAATATTGAAGCCATAAAGTTTATTGACCTGCTCAATAGTTAATTGATGTGATTCATTATTGCTAACGAATACAAACAGAATATGCCCATTTTTACAATTGTTGTCTACTTGCAAAGACAATGCAAAGTTTGATTCTATATAGTTTTTCGCTGCACCACGAAACACACACATATTCTTTTTGGGACCCATAATACCATATAATGTCACGTTGAGTTATTTCTTAAATGAAAAAAAGAACATCCAGAGAAAATTAGTTACTTGCTTCTTTTTTAAGCAAAAAAATTTAATTGATATCATTTGTATGCAACAAATTTCAATTTTGTTCAATCATGAGTTAACTTTACCAATGACTTAAAATAATTTATTATGATAACAATTATAAGCTTTATAACCATATGGTTATCATCTGGTGATTTATCATCTATAATTTATCAATTATGTTATGATACTGATGATATTGTATTATGATAGTCTATGATTATGTGAGTGATATCTCACTCATTTTTCATAACCAACTTGCATATACTTTTTATCATGATAAATTTTTTTATATTTAGTTTAAAAATTATTTTGTAATAAGTAATAAGAATAACTATAAAATATTACTATATAATTCTTATCATTATATATCGTTTTTAAACCTACTATAAACTTATAAATATATATATATATATATATATATATATATATATATATATATATATATATATATATATATATATATATATATATATATATATATATATATATATATATATATATATATATATATATATATATATATATATATATATATATATATATATATATATATATATATATATATATATATATATATATATATATATATATATATATATACTATTATTGTTATTATATATTATAAAATGAATATACATTTAGGGGGAGGGGGTTAACAACGATCTTTTAAAAAGATCGTTGCTAGCCCCCCCCCCCCTACCTACCTTTATTCTCCGGAAAAAGTTAAACTTAGGTACCTGTGCTGCAACAAATAATAAGGTGTCTGCTACATAATATTTTTCAATGAAATTTGGCATGCACTTAGAAAAAAGGTTTCTGCACAGGAAAAAATAGATTTAAAAAAGTTATCAACATTCTTTTTATATAAATTTTACATCTGACCAACAACGAATTTTTTCATAAACAGTTAACTTAATGATAGCGGTTGTAACTACTAAAAAAAACCCAACAAAAGTAAGGCCTTACTTTTCAACTTTTTTTAAAATATATAATTTGGTTCAAAACTCTACAAAATAACACATTCGTACAGCACATAAGTACCTATTTTGCTACAAAAAATTAGGTGTCTGCTACATAATATTTTGTAATAAAATTTGGCATGCACTTAGAAAATATGTTTATTCACTGGGCCCAATAGATTTGAAAAAGTTATCAACATTTCTTTAATATGAATTATACATCTGATCAAAAACAAAGTTTTTAAGAACCATAAATTTAACGATAGCGGTGGTAATTACAAAAAAGAACAGCACTAAAATAATGTTTAACTATTCTACTTTTCAAAAAATATATATGTTGATATGAAGTTCTATAAAAAAACACAAGAAAATACATTCTTACAACACATACGCCTTGCACGCTTCACTAAAATGGTCGAAGTTTTTCATTACAAGATCGGTGCCGTAAATCGAAAGATACGCGCATTCCTATATATATATATATATATATATATATATATATATATATATATATATATATATATATACATTTGGAATAACGTTCAATTAAACGTTATAAAAAAATAAGAAAAAAGCATACACAGTTTTAACAGTATTATATCATAGTTTTGGTAGCAATTTAAAAGATTTACATAAGCAAAATGTTTGAATGTAATCAGGAAAACTTTGAAAATACCAAACATCGAGTTTACAGAATATAATATTGATCAAATTTTTAAAAAATGTTCTCAAAACAGTTAACGAGTCAATAAGTACATTAAACTGCATATTTATAAATTATAAAGTCTAAATATTGTATTTTTTACTTTAAAGCAATCGATACAACTCTACATTAATGTCAGTTTATCCTAAATAACTGGCTATGTAGGTTGAACGGATTACCATAATGGCGTCAAGAAAAATGTCGAAAAAACAACATAAAGTGATTTTTTTAAAATTGTTAAGTTAAATATAAAAAATTGTTAAGTTAAAGATAAAAAACAAATTATTATAAAAAAAGTATGAAATATTGTAAATTATCAAGCTAAGTAATCTTTTTTGTGTGAACCCAAAAAAGCAATTTATTACAGTACTTGTCAAAAAGTGTAAATAAAATAAACTATAGAGAAAACGACTTGAAAAATCTTCTAGCTTCTTTTTTAAGAAACTTTGAAGAATAATCTCCACAGATCAACTTTTTTTTTTTAAATTTTTGCTAGTGAAATATAAAAGGCAATTTGGTTTGAAATTTGGTACTATGCAAATAATTCTCGAAAAAGTTGCCGAAAAATTTGCTAATATTTGTATTCTAAACTTGTCACACTGAAAAAGTCAGTGTGACAAGTTTAGAATTGTGACTAAAGTGTCTATTTAGAGACTTTAGACACTTTTAAACTAAAGTTCAAAAGTGACTAAAGTGCCTATTAAAAGACTTTTTTGAGTTGTTTTTTTAGTAAAAGTTAGAGTGCACAGCATCATAAATTCACAAATTGAACAAAATTGATAATTTTTTGTTTTTTTAGTTAATTAATGTTGCCGTTCCGATTCTGTGGCTAGTAAAAAAAGTCTGACGCGTGGTTCGATTTATAAAGGACCCAAAAGGGAACCCATAAAAATATTTTTTTCTAAAAAAAAAACAAATCACTTAGTAAATTTTTATTTATTTTTATTTTGTATTTTATTTGTTCTTTATGAATTGCGATAAAAAAAAAAAAAAAAAAAAAAAAGCATGCATTGATTAATGATAAGGAAAAGTAAGTGTGGGGCAATGGTACTAGGGGAAAAGGTTATGAAGCGATTTTTAAATAAAAATTTTAATTTTTTATTTTATTGCCTAAAATCTGTAAAATTGAATTAGTAATAAAAAAAATTTCGATTAAATTTTTTTAAATTTTATTTTTGTTTTTTTTTTTCTATAAAAATTACATTATGTACTTGAAAAAGAAGTTATCTGATATATTTTTCCTCCTTGCTATCAGGGATCTCTTGAAGTTTCCGAAAATATCTAAAATAGGTTTAAAATAAGGGTAATTGTGCCAGTGGAAAAGGTATGATGTAATTTTTTAATAAAATATTATAGTTTATATTTTAAGAAAAGCAGTAAAAGATCATTTTTTTCTTGGCCTTAATAACGCTTAGTAGATGTAAAATTCTTATTTATTATTTATTACTTATTAGTCTTAAAATACTCAAATAATTCACAGAATAATTTTAAAATTAAACGCAATTTTTACATTTAAATACGCTTTTGCATGTTTGGTTGCATTGCCGACGAAAACATCAATTCGAAAATTTACTGAGTTCATTATTACGCTATATTTCAGTAGAGTTAGAACTTAGAAAGATCAAAATCAATTAATTCTCTGGAAATTTTTTTTTTTTAAATGCTGACTTTACTACAAAAACCAATCAAAAATATTTATTCACATAATTTGAAATTCGTGTATATATTATATAATCAAGAAAAAGCTTATATTTATAATCTTATTATTTTCAGCAATTTGCATTTTGCTCTGAACAGTTAAAAACTGAATCTAAATGTTACTAAGCATTTACACAAATGGCATGTTTTACTTGAATATTTTAATGACTTATAATATATTAACAAGTGGTTATTAAATGTTTAAATTTTAAGTGTTTAAATGTGTTGTCAATCTGGTCTTTAAGCTTAGTAGCGTAGTTTTAGGTTTATTCGGAAGTTGTAACGGCTTTTTTGAATGTAGTTAGCTATTAGGATATTTTTTTTTCAGGCTTGAATATAATTTTATCTATTAAATCAATTAAATTGAATAGAAAATTAACTATGAATAAAACCTAGTTTGTTTTGAAACTCTTATTTGTATAGTTTTTGAAATACTTAAATAATTTACCTAATAATTGTAAGATTAAAAGCGAATTTTAAAACACAAATGATGTTTTACAGTTTTTGGCCTTAAAAAAAAAAAGCTACATTATTGTGTTAAAAAATTGCTTCATTTCTTTTTTACTGGCACAATAACCCTATTTCAGATATATTTGGAAATTTCTAGCGGGTTCCTTTTTAGGCCCTTTTTAAATCGAACCTTGCGTCATAATTTTTTATTAATTGAAAAAAAAATTTTATGTAAAAATTGCTTCATAACTTTTTTCCTTATACCATTGCAGTCATTTTAAACTTTCTTTTGATTTTTTTTACAAATATCTAATGGTTTCGTATAGAAACAAGGTAGGCCAATGTCCAAAACTTACTTTTCCATATAATTATTCAAAAAATGCATTTTTTTTTTTTTAACGCAACTTATAAAGAACAAATAGAAAACAAAATAATAACAAAAAAAATTTTTCAAGTGATATGTTTTTTTTGACAAAAAAAATTTTTTGGGGGTTCCTTTTTGGGCCCTTTTTAAATCGAACCACGCGTCATAATTTTTTATTAGCAACAGATTGGGAACGGCAACATTATAATTAACTAGAAAAACAAAAAAATTATCAATTTTGATTAATATATGAATTTATGATGGAGTACACATTATTTTTTAAAGAAACACAAATTAGGCACCTGGACCAGAATGCTAATTGGCCAAAAATATTTTGCTACGCCACTGTGTAATATACGTATAACCCAAGCAGTAGCTAAGCAATGATTTATACGTAGATTTAGAAATAAAATTTGTGGATTTATACATAGTTTTTCTTAAAACAACAGGAAAAAAAATACCTTAAAACATTCACCATCCTTACCCCAAATGTATTGGCAACAAATTAGTATTTATTTAAGTCATAAGGTTTTAAAACTCAAAATTCAAATGTTATAATTATATATAGTTTACACCGAAACCAAACAAATTTGTTGTTTCAACATTTTCCTAAACATTCTAATGCGATATAAATAAAAAAAAAAACATACTTAAATTTGGCACTTGTTATGTTTTACCTACCAAAAGTATATTAATTAGTCAAAATCATTGTTTTTTTTGTAATTATACTAATATTACATCTCAAAATTTACGCATGTAAACATCATCATTATAATATTATTGGTTACAATAAAGTCTTTAAATGAGTTTGATATGGTTTTTAACAACCCGTTAAAAGACCTTTATTTGTACGTAACTTTATAATTATACCAACAGTTAAAGAATGCTATTGATTAAGTAATTCTAATTGGTTTGGTGATAAAGAAATTGCCACAATTTCAAATTATAAAACCTTTAAACATTGCTTTTGATTATACTACTTAATACCACTCGTATTTAAATCAATTTAAAATTAAATCTTGTATTTTTTTTAATATATATTTTCATGGATAATATTTTTGAAAGCCATTTTATTTAAATTGTAAAAAAAAAAAGAAATTATTCAAAGTTTCTACTATTTATGCAATATTTGTTTTGTTTCAGTATTATTTATGCAGTATTTGTTTTGTTTTAGTATGTTATTT